GGGTTACTCCCCCCTCCCCTCCCCTCCTTGTGAGCGGCCCACGGACCCTGCCCAGAGTGGGCAGTGCACGGCCCTCCCAGAGGGGGCGGCTCCTTCCGTCCCCTTCCCATCGGCTCTTGCTGAAGGTGCGGATACTCGTGTGATCGGCACCTCCACCTTATCCACGGGACCTCGCTGGAACCTCTCCGGGACGTCTGATCCCGCTGCTGCGGGGTTTGTTGCCCCGGGGCAAATAGCCACGCTCCCCACCCGCAGTTTCCTGCCCGTGTGACCGCCGCCAAAGTTTGTTTTCCTTATGCCCCTCTTAGGAATGTGGAATGTACTCTAATCAGGGGAGTATAGTGAATTATGTTTAAGAACAGAATGGCTGAACCTTTTCCCCCACCAAATACCAGACCCTGACCTTTTGTCTGTTTTATCCCATAAGGAAAGAACTTTGAACCTTGTTCAGTATGCCAGCTGGTTTGTAAATCTTGAGCACTCAGATGAACTCGCATCAGAATTATCATTCTTAATAAACCTTGTATGCTTTGTCAGCCAATGCCTTGAGTAGGTCTTTTCTCTCCCAGATTGGTCTTGGAGAAAGGGGGTTATACTGGTTTTTAGAAAACTCCCCTAACAGGTGCCCATTCAGAGCATATTTCTTTTGTCCATGCTTACACACCTATTTGGCTTGCTCATAAATTTTGAAGAGAGGCAGGAAAAGCAAAGGGTCCTCTAATGTACCCTTTGCCTTGAAGAATAAAATCACACGCAAAATTAAAGTTGTTGTGCTTGCTCTGCCCGTGCACCCATCTTCAAGGGGGCTACAAAGAAGGCAGAAAACAGTATTGTGCTCGATGATGTTGCAAAAGCCTTTGTGATTTCATGTTTGCCTTGAAAATTGAGATAGTGGGATGAAATGTCGGGTGGGATCTAAAAGTTCCGTTCCATTAGTGGTGGAGCCTTCGTCCAGCGTCAGGAGTGTTCTGCTGGTAGAAAACAAAGTGTTATAGAGGAAGTGTCAACAAAACAGAAAGAAAGTTTTGTATTAAACATAAACATTTGTGAGGTGCTCTAGAGAATTCAAAGCATTTGTCAGTTTTCTTTTAACAGCTGCCTTTTAAGGTTTAATTTCAGGTTCAGTGATAAACATCATTGTTCTCAGAACTGTCCAGACACAAGCCTGCACCGGAACTGAACCCACCCCTCCAAGCAGGGCTTTTTTTGTAGAAAAAGCCCAGCAGGAACTCATTAGCATAATAGGCCACACCCTGACAGCATAGAGCATTAGCATATTAGGCCACACCCATGAAAACACAGCTCATTAGCATATTAGACCACACCCCATGCCTTCCTTTGGCTTGTCTGGGCACCCTGCAACTGCGGGGAGCCCGGGCAAGCCGGTCCTTGGAGGGTAGGAAAGGCAGTTTAAATTTCCAGGCCCCCTCTGGCCCGCCCACCTCGGAGTCACCAGGCGGGTCGCTCTCCAGGCCTTCCCTCTGTAGCCAGGCACGCAGAGGTTTTGGCTGTAGTGGGCCTGGCCAACTCTGAAGCCAGTCGGAACTCCGTTCCTGTGCGTTCCTGCCCAAAAACAGCCCTGTCTCCAAGGCCCCAGAGCCAGGATACTTACCTGTTCTGTGGCCCTTGGGCTCTCCCACATTCTCATTTTCTTCACTTGGGTGTCCCTATTGCTTCAAGGGTTTTTTTCTTTTCCACATGTTTTGCTCCCTCTAGTGGTCGATTCGATATTGCATGCAGTATGTGTAGAATAAAAATCTGCAGGTTTTTGTGCTGAACATATAGCGATGTAATATAGAATTAGACACTAGAGGGAGCAAAACACGTGTGGAAAAGAACCCCTCCCCTGAAGAAATAGGGACACACAAGTCACAAAAATGTGAATGTGAAAGAACCCCCTGGAGGGAAGGAAAGGTACCAGGGAACAGGCTGCTTGCCTAAGACCAGGGGTCATTTCGTAGAAAAAGAGGTGCAGGAGCTCATTAGCATAACTTATTTGCATAGGCCACACCCCCTGACATCACCGGAAGCATGCCAGAAGGCAACACCCACCGCTCAGGCTCCGCTGGACTGCTTTGGATTGCTAGCTATTGGGGGGGAGGGGGGAACGTGCAAATCTGTCCTTGCAGAGGAGGGAGAGCTTGTACCTGAATAAAACTTGGTCTTAAAGGTGCCACTGGACTGTTTTGGACCGGGGGACCAGGGGAAGCTCTGCAACTTACCTGGCTGCTTCTTGCTCTGCCTGAGGGCTGCTGGGAGCAGGGGGTGGGGCTTGTTGCATGTGCCCGCCCCCTGGGCTCTTTACTGCCGGAGCTCCGCTCCTGTGCACTCCTGCAGGAAATGACCCCTGCCTAAGACATACAAGAGAAGCTACTGGAGCCAGTCAGCAAATGATTGAAGAGGGACACCTGGATCAGGAAAACAGGCAAGGCTGGGCTAGGCCCAGGTGTAAGGGCTGTTGGGGAGGTGTGGATGCCTGAGTTCTTAAGGATAGAGGAGGTGGAAGGAAGACTAGAGAGGGAAATACAAGCAGGCTTCACACACAGGCCAGGGAGGAAGGAAGCAGCGGAATGCTGGAGAGGGGGGCAGAGCGCTGTTCCAGGCGAGGAAAGGTGGGACCTGCGATGCTCCATCTGCATCCCACTTTGCCCAATTCTGAAGCTAAGGAGCCGCAATGCAAAGGTCACGGCAGCAGAAGGGGGGGAAGGTGAGCTTGTGGCAGGGGGCACTCATAGGGGCTGCAGCTCAGTATTCAAAGAGCTCAGCATGCAGAAGGACCCAGGTTCAATCCGTCTCCAGGTAAAAGGATCAGGGAGCAGGTGATGTGAAAAACCTCTACCCGAGAACCTGGAGAGCCGCTGCCCGTCTGAGTAGACAACACTGAATGTTGATGGACGAAGGGTCTGGGTTCAACACAGGGCAGCTTCATGTGCTCCTGTGTTTATAAGTTGCTTCCTCCCTGCCTCTCCCCACCCCTGCCTGCCGGGGCCAGGGAGGGCCTTCGTGGGGCTTCCTTGCACTCCTGCCGGCCTTGCAGGTCCACCGCTGGGCCCCTCATGGGGCTCGGCAGTGGAGCTGCAAGGCCGCCGGCAGTGGCCGGGACCGTTGGGGGTGGGGTGTGTGGCCTTTTGACACACTTCCGGTGATGTCAGGGGGTGTGGCCTATGACACACTTCCAGTGATGTCAGGGGGTGTGGCATATGCTAATGAGTTATGCTAATGAGTTCCCCTAGCTCTTTTTCTACGAAATGGCCCCTGCTCTCAGGGAAAACTTCCCCCTTCCCCGGCTGGCTCACAGTAAAGCCGAGCTTTGAACGGGAGGCTCTGTCACATAGCCCAAAGCTGTACAAGCTTGTCTGTTGAAGTGGCACCGCTTGTTATATCAATTCTCTGTTTAGTGTTTAATCCGCAGTAATGATACACACCATTATTTCTCACAGGAATGTGAATTGCTGAAATAACCCCTTATAAAACTGTGTTGTCCCCCCCCCTTTCACAGACATCATCAGCCAATCAAACAAAATATTATGTGTCTTACCGTCGGAATGAATTTGTACAGATGAAACTGCCAAAATATGCATTACCCAAGGTAATCGTCCTCAAAATACATTATTAATTTCCCTTCTTTCCTAACCTAGAAGAGATTTGTCCTATGCTTCGGTGGATTTTCCCATAAATTCCTCTGTGCATTCAGTATTTGCACTGGTGCTTAGCTGTTTTCTTCTTCAAATAATTCTTTGCGGTCCATGACCATGTGCTGAAATGTACTGAATAGAAATTATTTCATGGGAGTGTCTTTCC